TCCGTGTAAATGGAAATGTTTGACTAGTAAAGACATAGAGATTTCAAAGTTATCAACATCTTGCAATGATGCTAAATCTAAATGAATATAATGTCTTTTTTTTCTAAAGATGGGAGTAATTTGGAACCTAAAATGGACTTTATCATCACAAAATAATAAAAAGGGGGAAAATATGGCCTCTGTAGCTGAAGAAAATATTGAATTTTATGTGTTATAAAAATAAAAAACTGTGATATAAAACTCACATTACAATGGCGATTTTTAAAAATGTTTTTCCTTTGTGATCATACTCTACACTTTGAAGGTGAAAGGATTGCTTCATATTGGTTGAAGAATATTTCTGGCGCCCTTGTTGAACCAATTTCTCTGTTGTGTGAGTATGTTTCATATTTTACTTCCATAGATAACAGTGAATACTTCCCTTTTTCAAAAAATTACATCCTTTGGCTCTACATTATTTATTAACAATCTCATTTATGATTGGTTCCAGACAGACTTTGTATTCCTCCAGCCATAATATCTATACAGATAATGTATTTCAGTATTATAAATAGCTAGTTTAATTGTTATAGCTATATTTATTGATCAGGAACTATATTGTATCTCATGAGCTAAGTTTAGTTCTAGGTGTTTGATTCTGTTACAGGAGTCGGTTAAGGATGTTACCTGCTATCTCACGAGACCTTTCTATTGGTGTCCAGAGTCACCCTTGGCGTGAAGCCGCATTACGCCCAACAACGAAACAAAATATTGGGAAAATACCAAATTTTTAGTGTTCAACAAGTGACTATTCGGTTATAGAGAACATTTGAATTGTGAGAGTGGTTTGACACTTTCTGTGAGTTTGAATATTCATTTCTGTTTGTAAAGTGTATATCTTGTCTTTATTCTAATTTATTGCTGACTATGTGCATTGCAATTTCGCCATTCCAGCTTAAGCTTAATTCAATTTCACTTTACATTTAAATTCACTTTACCTTCAACACTTTTTATTTGTTTTATTACTGTTGTATATTCAGGTATATTGATATCAACATGTAGCCTAAGATTTCCAGAATACAGCAGGTTCTGGAAATGGTATGCAGAGAATAAACTGAACACAGACAGCAAATGAAAAAACACAAGTGAAAAAATAAACCAATTCTGTACTCACAAAAATATGGGTGTACTTACCAAACTGATTATCTTCTTGGTGTTTGTGCACAAACTGACTGCTGGAGCTCATGGGGATTTTTAAATACATGCACGAGATAAGGACAGCAAGAATTATTCTATATTCCATTTTCAAGTCAGGCAAATGGACTCAAGTGTGGTATCTCATATTCCATTGATATCCTCTGTTACTGATTATTCCAAATAACATATTCACTGGAAATAACCCAAACAACACATGACAACTTGTACATATATTTGTCTCATTCCATGAGATAGACTTACACAGCCCAGAAAGTGGGCACAGTTGCAGGATCAAACTATTTCAAGCTTCTTTGAGATAGCGTTGTTGTAGTAATCCAAGTTTACCTGAACTAAATGGTCAAAACATATATACTCAAGACCACCCAGAGGTTAGAGGGGGACCAATATGAAGGCCCCTATATATTGTTCTAAGCTATATTTTTAACGTTACAATTTGTTGATAAGCTAGAGGGCGCATTGTTAGAAATTTCTAATTTGACGTCAAGTTTTGTTCTAGCAATTTCGCACGTACACTATAAACACGAAATTCTGTGAAGCATATAGTTAGCTGAGTTGAAAGTTAATTAACATAAAAGAGAGTTGGATACTTTATACACGTGACTGTACATTAGTTCTAATACTGTAATAATAGAAGTATAATGTCATTTGTAAACAATTTACAACATTATATGTCAATGTTCAACATCAAGTTTGTAGAAATGTACATGGAGGAAATAAGCTGATTTCGCTTCATTAAGTAGATTGGACGTTGAATTGTTTTCACCAGATAATTAAAAATAAACTCATAATAAAAGAAACAAACGATACAACAACTAGGCATAGATAGAGAGATTGAAGATAGAGATAAT